GGGAGAAGGAGAGGGAGAGGGAGAGGGAGGAGAGAGAGAGGGAGAGGGAGAGGGAGAGGGAGAGGGAGAGGGAGACGGAGACGGAGAGGGAGGAGTGTGTGTGTGTATCTGTGTGTATCTACCTGTCTATCTTTGTTCATCTGTCTGTTCAGGCAACTCCATCCCCTGTGGCATGCAAATGCATTAGGAAGGGAAGTGGGGTAAAGCCTGGGAGAGTTATGGTAGATATGATAGTTACTTTTCTATTGCTATGACAAAACACCATTGACTAAGACAACTTATAAAAGAAAGCATTTAGTTGGTTTTACCATTTCAAAAAGTTAGAATGCATGGAGGCAGATCAAAGCCTGGTGGCAAGAACAACTGAGAGCTCAAATCTTGATCAAAAGTAGGAGGCAAAGGGAGAACATATTGGAGATGGCACAAGGTTTTAGAAGCCCTAAGGCCTACCCCCAGTGGCATGCTTTCCTCCTTATCTTTCTCAAATAATTTCACCAACCTGAGACCAAGTATTCAAATATATGAGCCTATGGGGACCACACTTACACTGTAAGTAGGGCTTAATATGCCGACCTAGTAGGACTGTGGCATGCCATAGTACATAACACTATGTGAACCATGGAAGCCCAGATTAAGAGATTTCAGAGGAAAACAATATGAGCAACCAAGCTAGAAACTATGCTTGTGGTATTTTGGCAAAGAATGTAACAACTTTCTGCTCTTGGGCTAAGAATTTGCTTAATGCTAAATTGAAACTTAATATACTAATTTCTTTGACTGAAGAGATTTCAATGCAGCATATTGACTCTGTTGTTTGGTTATTAGTAATCACTCTTATGCAGGTATACAGTGAAATAGAGCAAGGGGAACAAAAAAAGAACAGAGTTTAAAGAGAAAAGAGTACCAGGAAACTTAACTCTGCAGCCAAGGCTTTTACTAAAAGAGGTGATGAGATCAAGACAAGGCCTGCTCTGCATTAGGATAAAGGAAGGGATGTCCTCAGAAAAAGACCCATCCAGCTAAGCTTCCAACTTATGAAAAAAAACGGCCTAAGGAAATTTCTGTTTCTTAAAATCAACAACAAATCAAAGCTGCTACAAACGTGATTAGAAGATGGTGGGTTCAACCCAAGTTGGTAGTCAAACTTAGCAGTGTTGTCCTCATGGCTCTGGCTTTAGAGTCATGAAGAATACACAAGTAAAAAGCTTGTGGAATCTTTCTCCAGGGCTAAGAAGAGCTGATATGGCAAGGAGTGGGGCAGGGGTGTCCTAGCAGGGAGGACCTAACAAGCCAATACATAAAGCTGTGAAAGTGAAACCTGGATTGTATTAGAAACTCCAAAGTATTAGAGGTGCCAGAGTCATGACTTATCTGCTAAGGGGAATAGCATACAGGGAGTGGAAACACCCCAAGAAAGAACTGTACTTTTGCGGCAGCAAGGCTGGAAAGATGTAGCTATCCTTATAAGCCCTTTGACATCAGACATTGAGCTATACAATTTTGAGTTTGTCCTGCTGGGTTTCAATATTTCTTTGGTCCAGTATTTCTTTGCTATGGCCTGATTCATCCCTTTTGGAATGGTAAAATATAGTCTGTGACACTATACTTTGGAAGTATGTAATTTCCTTTTTTATTCTATAGGTGGTAACAATTAAAAGTTTACCTGGAGTCTCAGAATTTACTTTGGAGAATGATCTCATAGGCTCATATGTTTGAATACTAGCTGCCCAGTTGGTAGAACTGTTTGGGAAGGATTAGGAGGGGTAGCTTTGTTAGAGGACATGTGTTACTGGGAATGGGGTTGGAGATTCCAAGACTTATATTATTCCAAGTGTGTCTTCTCCTCTCTCTCTCTCTCTCTCTCTCTCTCTCTCTCTCTCTCTCTCTCTCGCTCTCTCTCTCTCCCTCCCTCCCTCCCTCCCTCTCTCTCTCCCCTCCCTCTCTCTCCCCTCCCCTCCCCCACCCCACACCTCTTTCTCTCCTCCTTTCAGTTCCAGATATAACCTCTCAGCTGTTCTTGCCACCACTATTATAAATTAACTCTGAAATAATAACCCCAATTAAATGCTTTCTTTCATAACTTACTTTGGTCATTGTTTTGTCAGATCAATATAAAAGTAACTAAGAATTCAAAACCTGAGACTGAAAACTGCTACATCAAAAAGTAGAGAAATACTTGAAGGTTTAGGCATATTTAGGGATTTTCTAAATAGGATTCCTGTTATTCAGGAAATAATGCCATCAATTGACAAAAGGAAATCTCATGAAATTAAACCGCTTTTGCTGTGCGTGCACAGATCCAAGCCAGATGGTTCCCCACTGCTGAGATTGGGGAAGCTTATACAAGCACTCATCCATAAGAAGCTATTTCCAATCAGCACATGCTTACAAAAAAATTAGTTTGCTCCACTGGAGTCTTATTGAGTCTATAAACCACACTTATTTTTATAGATTTATCTTTTTGTCTCATGTTGGTTTGTTTGGGCATTTACTTTAATGATCTTTTGATTGCATATTATAGTTTCTAATTTTTTGTATTTTTATGATTTTTGTGTGTGTGTTCCTTATGCTTTTTTCTATTCTTTTTTAAACCCTGGTTTTTTCTTAAATCTGTTTTCTAAAGAAAATGAGAAGAAAGTGTGGAGTTGGATGGATCAGGAGATGAGATCTGGGAGGAGAGAAGGGAGAAGAAACCATAATCAGAATATATTGAACATGAAAACAATATTTTCAGTGAGAAAAAAGCTGTCTATCTGACAGAGAATCAATATTTGGGATTTATTTTTAAAAATACAAAAAACCTAAACAATAAGAAATAAAAGAACTTAATCAATAAAGTGACTAGTAACATTAACAGGCAAGCTTTCAAAAAATTAGAAATGCAAATAAACACCACACTGAGATTCCATCTCACTATAGTGAGAATGGCCATCATTAAAAACAAATAAAAGCAAATCCTGGAGAAAATATGGACAAAAGGAAACCCATTCATACCACTTCTGGTAAGAATGTAAACTAGTCTAGTTACTATGGAAATTAGCGTGGCTGTCTCTTAAAAAGCTAAAATTAAAAGGCTAAACTCTGTCCCACATCTACCATTCCTGGGTATTTGCCCAAAGGACTCCTTATCAAAGTATCACAGAGATATCTACATATTAATAAGAACTGCAGCATTATTCATAATATCTACATTATGGAACCAACTTAGGTGTCATACAAAAAACATGATATACATAGACAAAAGATTTTTTCAGCTATATAGAACAAAAATATGCAGGAAATTGGAAACAACTGAAGACAATTATATTAACCACATTAAGACAATCTAAGAAAGAGAAATATTATATTTTATCTTATTTCTAGATTTTATCTGATTATGAAAGTAGATCAAAACTGTCTAAAATAATAAAGGAGGCTAATGAGAGGGGGAAGAAAAAGAGGTGTAAGACTATGACAAAAAATATGCTTAACATCCAATATATGCTTGTATGGTAATAATACACTTATATAACATACATTGTACCATGTAAAGTGAATATACACAATGAAAGAATTTTTAAAAATGAACTTTAAAAGAGAGAAGAATAATCACAAATAAACAAAAGTTTTCTCAAATAAAAATCTTCATGCATTGGTCATATAAATAAAAAGTTAGGCTTACCTTGACATATTGAACTAGACGTTCATTGACATTCACTTTATAGGTCTCTATGCCTAGCTCCTTAGACAAGCGTAAGATTCTGTTCTGGGTTGGTCCCACATAGGCTCCACCAACATCTACCCATTTAACATGATCATTCTGAAGAAAGAAAAAAAGTAGGTTACCTAAACTTTGTAATCTAAAACCTTTATAACATGAAAAATCATGTTTAATTTGCTAACTTAATTGTGTCTTACGTGTCCTTTATAAAGTACACCTGAAACTCAAAACCATTTTTCTCTTCTTCTCAAAAGTTAAAAGTTCTTTAAAGTTTGCTTCTATTGTTTGCATCAGTTTTTGTGTGTGCATACTGCTTATTTACCCTTATCTGTCTGATTAATTTTTAATGTGTAGCAACCACTGTACTTGAAAAACATGCAGAAATAAGTTGAATGGTAGGAGTTATTTTTCTCAGAAAATATTTATGAGACACTAATAATACAAGATAACAATTTCTTTTCAGTATCTAAGATTTGAAGCTAGGAGGAAATACACATATGTACTTTTCTCCTTGCAGTTCACCCTTAGTTCTAAGATGCAGCATAATCTGAAGAGAAGTGTTGAAAAGCTCTCCTCAAACACACGTTTACCTTGGCTGGAACAAAATGAACAAGGAAGACTGTCAGTCAGAGAGTTTATGAGGTTAAAGCCCCTCAGGACACTGGAAAGACACTGGTTGTGTACGTAAGTGAGAAGGTGGGGCTTTGGAAGGCTTTGAGTAGTGCTAAGACATGACTTCGATCTCAATGACTCACTTTCACTGATGTGATACTAGAAATTGATTAATAGCGAACAAGAATAAAAACAGGAAAATCATATAGCTAAAGCACTAACCTGGCCTAGAGGTGACAGTGGCTCCCACCATGATGTAGCAGTAACAATATTGGGAAACAATAGATTTCAAAAGTATTTTGAAGACAAATGCAAGATAGTTTCTGTATAGGATGAAGTACTGACCAAGACCCCAAGTATTTGATGAGTTGTTGTGTGGGAGTATTGTTTATGCAGTTGTTGGCAAGGGAACCTTAGCATGGCATTTGGCATTTAGCATGATAAGAAATTGTTCTACCACAGAGAAATATATTAGCAGCTCTCTAAAGTGACTGCTTTTATGTTCCTTATAAAAAACTGTACTCTAGGCATGAGGTTAGAACTCAGTGATTCAGTTCCTGTCCACTATGTTCTGGGTTTCATTACACACACACACACATACACACACACATCATTTGAATAATTGATTTTGAGATGTCTTTTCAACATTGATATCTACTAATTTCTAACTTCCCTCTCAGATCAATACAGTGTATTTTAGTTAGCATTAGCAGTAGTAGTGAAGTGCTATTTTGACTTATTTAATCTGTATATAAGAATCATAATGTTTTCTTTCACTATCCATACTGTCTCCTGAAGCTTCTTTAGTCTCTAACATGTTTTAAAGAATAAAATTGCAATAGATTTCTCTTACTTTAACACAGAAAAAAGATTATAATGTACAAACATTTCTTTAGAATACTGATACTCTCTTTAAAGCAAATAAGCATAAAAGAAGCAGGAAAAAGAGTGAGACATCCATCAGACCTAGGTCCTCTGCATATGTTATGGTTGTATACCTTGGTCTTTTTTTGGGACTCCTAACAGTGAGAGCATGTGTTGTCCCTGACTCTTTTCCCTGCTTTGGGGACCCTTTTCCTCCTGCTAGGTTGTGTCATCCAGCCTTCATACAAGGGGAAGTGCCTAGTTTTATCGCAACTTGATATTCCGTCTTTGGTTAATACCCCTGGGAGGCCTGCTCTCTTTCAAAGAGAAAGGAGGAAGAGCTGATGGGGAAACTAGGAGAGGGGCCAGGAGAGGAGGAAGGAGCAGAAACCATGGTTGGAATATAATATATGAGGGAATTTTTAAAAAGTGAGGTATCCCACAGAATGTTTCTTTAAAACCCACAAATACTTGAATGAAGTACCTTGGGTTCTGCTGGAAGACACTAAGAAGCATAATGTGGTATTCTATCAGGCTGTACTTGTTCTTTCTTTATTTAGGTCATATTACCCACCTAGGATGCCATATACATGGGAATCTACTAGGAAACAATACATTGACCTTGTTGTGGTGGCATTCCAGGCACTCCAACTTTATTAATCTGATTATGCAGAATTATAGATGGTTTAATTATGAAATACTGTTCTGAAATTGTAGAAAATCCAATAGAAGTGGTCAGGTGACAATATCAAATTTGAATTTTATTTTTTTAAGATCCAATATAGTTTCCATGACTTTTTCCAAAATTATCCTAATTGATTGTTATTTGAATCAATTCTCAAAATTATTTAACTTTATACTAAATATCATCCTGACCATTTCTTAAAGCCTTCTTTTTCTCTCTCTAGGCATTTGAAATATAAATGCTAAGTGTTCATGTCTAATTATTTCTAAGATTCCATTCTTATAAGAAAGGAATACCAAAGAGGTACATAGTACCATGCTGAATAGACACTAATAATTCCTATCTCCTACTGACATATATAAATGGAGCAATATGGCCAAGTAGCTAAAGCCAATAACATAGACTGGGATAAGCATGTTGGAATTTCATTTCCTTTATATGACTTGCTCTTAACTGAAAATCTGCAGCATGACTGATGTTCTATTTAATAAGCAAAAGGTTTAAATGACAAGGAAAGTGGGAGTAAAGGAAAAGGCAATAACTATCTCTAAAATTAAAGGATATTTTTCAGAAAATGACAGAAGAATCACATATAAAAAGTAAATACAGGTAGAATATTTAACTTGTCTTTTGCATAACCATACAATGCCTTCAATTTCAATTCCAAGATAGGCTGGTTGTAGAGACACATGCCTATTATTCCATTATTCCTAAGGCTGGGACAATAGGATCTCAAGTTGAAGGCCAGCCTGAGTTACACAGCAAGATCCTGTCTCAAAAAAATTAAAATAACATGCCAGATATGGTGGTGTATGCCTTTAACACCAGCATCCAGCAGGCAGAGGAGGTAGGTTTGTTTGAGTTCATGGCCAGCTTGGGCTACATAAGAGTTCCAAGACATCCAGTGTTATACATTGAGACCCTGTCTCAAATGCAAACAAAAATTAAAATAAAAGTATACAGGAGCTTCTTGGAAGACATATGAGTATATCTTATCATTCAGCATATAAGACTTGCATGTGAAATGCTAATAAGATTCTTAGAATCATGTAGGTACAGTGAAGAAATTCTAGTCTCTTCACTCCTTTTGTACATTTTAAATGTGTACGAATGCTTTGCCCACATGTATGTATATGCACTATACGTGTACCTGGTACCCACAGAAGTCATAAGAGGACTTCAGATCCTAGAACTGGACTTAGAAATGTCTGTGTGCTTGGAATCAAACCAAGATTCTCTGCAAGAGTGAAAAGTGTTCTTATCTAAAACCCATAGTAGATTATATCTAAGGGAATACTCAGGAATACTCCAAATAAATTTAATGTGAGTTTACATTAAAGTTAAGGAAGCAAGTATATCTATACCACAGAGTAGCCTATTTGCAACCTCCCCTGGGAAGCTTATTAAAAGGCAAATGTAGATTCAGCAGCCATGAGAATTTACACTTCTCTCAAGTTTCCAGGTAATTCCAAGGCTGCAGGTCTATTGACCACACATGGAGTAGCAAGGTTGTAGGGCACATTGTTGGAGCTGAGCAAAATAGAAACAGGCTTCATGAGGCTAGTGAAATAGGTGAGAGTAAGAATGCATGGCATAGCCAGGCAGTGGTGGCACACGCCTTTAATCCCAGCACTTAGGAGGCAGAGGTAGGAGGATTTCTGAGTTCGAGGACAGCCTGGTCTACAGAGTGAGTTCCAGGATAGCCAGGGCTATACAGAGAAAACCTGTTTCGAAAAACAAAAAACAACAAAAGACAAAACAAAACAAAAAAACAAGAATGTATGGCATAAGATGACAGAAAGAGCTAAGATAGTATCCTAGTTCATACTTTATCACACAGCTATTGCAATAGCCACTCCAATTCCCTTTCTTATGCCTGTTTCAGCTCTGCCTCCTGGAAATGTTAAACACTTGCTTTCCCAGGCTCCCCTTACAGTTGAGATGACATGTGACCCAACTCTGCCCAATGAGACAAGTGTCTTGCATGGAGTTTACAGTAAAGAAGAAGATCTGTCTCAATAAAGAATAGTGCTGCTCTTTTATTCTATTTCCATTTGTTTGTTTCTGAAACAAGACACCACCATGTACCACAAGCTGGTCTTAAACTCATTACCTTCTTGCCTCGGGGCCTCAAATGCAGTGCTTATTGCTGTGAGTCATAAAGACCCAGCAATTCTTATTCCTTGAGAGAAGACTTGCTTAGAGCCATAGCACTCACCTTGTTACCAGAAGGTACCAAGCCAACATGCAAAGAACAGCAGATCAAAGGGTAGGAAAAATCTGAAGCCTTGATAGCAAAACTGAATTCCTAGACTATCTTGGAATATCTACCACTAAACATCTATGAAATTAATGTTTTTGCTGTTTAAACCACCGTTACTATTACGTTTAGGCTGTTCTGTCATAGCCTAACTGAAACATCTATATATGCAGACATTCTCTCTCCTTCTAGTCATTTTTTTTCAAAACAATATGCTTTGTTTTATACTACCAGTACTCAGCCTTTACTACTCTATTTATGTATTCTACCAAAGGGGTTCATTAATGATTTTCTTACTGCCATAAGCAAAGGAATCCTTTCTGCGTTTATCCTATATCATCTGACTGTTGAGCATTCCTTCCTCTTCCCTCCAGCAACAGGTCAGCACAGCAGTGTTTTAGTCTGGTTCTTCTTACCTTCTATGGCTTTTCCTGTCTCATTACATGCCCTACAAACTTCCATTTTGGGCCTTATTTCCTTATATCTTCCCCCTATGAACTTTCATCAGCTCCCACAGATTTAGTTACTTGTAAACATAGTAATAGAAAACAGTTGTTGCAGGGCGGTGGTGGCGCATGCCTTTAATCCCAGCATTTGGGAGGCAGAGGCAGGTGGATTTCTGAGTTCGAGGCCAGCCTGGTGTACAGAGTGAGTTCCAGGACAGCCAGAACTACACAGTGAAACCCTGTCTCAAAAAAAAAAACCCAAAAAAAAAGAAAAGAAAGAAAGAAAGAAAGAAAGAAAGAAAGAAAGAAAGAAAGAAAGAAAGGAAGAAAAAAGAAAACAATTGTCCTGTAATTTTCCAGATTCCTAATATAGGCCCGTGTACAAAAGACAGTGATGTAACAAGAACTGTGCTTCATCCTTATATCTAGCCAGACGTAACCTGAGCAAAGAGGCCAAGGGAAAACGGGATATGTATATGTTTGTGTGTGTGTCTGTGTGTGTGTGTGTGTGTGTGTGTGTGTGTGTCTGTGTATGCACGCGCGTGCGTGCATGGGTGCGCATTAGGGGTACAAAGTCACTTTTAGTCCAGCCAAACTATTGCACTTCCTCAGGTATTACATACTCAATTTGACTCTATAATATAGACATTACAACACTGTAATGAAGTTATTTGTTTACATTTGTTGTGTTTCTACAATGTGAGTGATTTAAGTCAGAGTCCATCACTATACAGTTAGCACTTATTAAAAAGAACAAACATGTTGGGCATAGTAGTATATGCCTATAATCCCAGCAGTTGTAAGATTGAGGTAGAAGGATGAATTTGAGGTCAGCCAGGACTGTATAGGGGGTTTAAGGCTAGCCTAAGATACTGAGAAAGACACTGTCTCCAAAAAAAAAAAAAGAAAGAAAGAAAAGGCCACTTACTTAATAGTTTAGAATTGTTAGACTAATGGCTTAACTCTGTGATCTCATGAGAGCTCCTCTAGGGCCATGACTTCAAATACCTCATTTATAGTTTAAATAGATGCCATAAAGTATTGAAAACACTTACCCTCACAGTATATGTTCTCCCTCCAACTCTATCCCGGGCTTCCAAAACCAAGACATTAATTTTGTATTCAGACAATAGTTTGGCAGCAGCCAATCCTAAAGGCAAAATAAAAGAGACAAAATATTAACATCTAAATGCCAGACATCCCAGAATTGAACAGATCTACCAGGAATCCGTTGATTTTGCTATTATTCTAAAAAAAATTACCAATATTATTAGCTATCATAAAGGATTCTCAAATGACTAGCTTATTCATCTTGTATTAAAGATTAGCTACTAGAAAAAGGTCATCTTTTCAAACATGTTTCTTGTTTTCTGAAATAGTAATATTACACTCAGAGAATCTTCTCAGCCCTCATCCAGAAATTCTGACTATATAAACATGAATAGGACTCAGGTTCCTAGATCTTGTTTCCCTCAGTAGATTCTAAGATTCTAGATTTCTAAGATACTAGGAGCTGTGCTTAACTTCATTTATTAGCTCAAAGCTAAGAACAGGGTCTCATCTGTAAATAGTTTTTATTAAAGAGGCATTTCCAATCCAACATTGTAGCAGTGGAAAGGTTAAGACAATATAGATTACCATTTTATCATAGATACATGGTATCAATATGTATGATCATTTATGGTAACCTTAATTTAATCACCTTGCTCAGCAAGGGTTTCCAAGGTTTCTCACTATAAAGTGTTATAGTCACTCTCCTTTTCATACTGTACTCTTTGGAAGGAATGTTATACATATTCTACATTATACAATACAAAGTTATGGTCTACCATTTTGAGGGCACTGTATCCACATGAATTGTTGAGAATTCTTCAGCAGTACACATTTGGTTCTTTTCCTCATGCATTTATTTAATCATCAGTATGGACTCACAAATATTTCTTTTATACTTCACAATATAATCCAATACTATATTATTTACTGTTGAAATTATACACTGGGAACTGTTTTAATTGGTTCTTTCTTGTGCCCTTTGGCATTCTATCAGTTTGTATTTGTACATGCGCATGAACTTCCTTGCTTTCTTGTGCTCACAGTATCTTCCATGCCTGTTCTAACCTTTTGGTCAGTACTTTTGTAGTAAGCCTTCGTCCCTTTTGTTGGGGAATAAAATTAGAAACCAAAATGTGGTGCTTTATGTGCTAGTGATTACTAGAATACCACTACTTGCAGGAACTCTCAGCTATCAGAGTAAGGAAATACAGTGTGTATATACTTATTTTTCAACCGGTATTTGTTATATTTCAAATGCTATCTGAATACTTGTTTTTCTTTGTACCACCTGTTACAAAAGAAATAAACCATATATAGAGCTAAATAAAATGTAAAGAAGAAAGGTTAATTAAAATGTTAGAAAGACAGTATAGAATAACAGTAGAGATGATATTAGTAAAATATCAAGATACATATAAACGTAGCTGAAGAGAAGTACTATTTAGAGTGATTATAAAATCTAGTAATTTCTACTAGTATATGTTGCAAAGACAGGAAGAACTTCAAAATAGTGTTTTTCTAATTAGCATACACTTGATGCTATCACTAGATCTGCTATGCTGGGCCTGTCAGGGATATAATGTGACACAAGACAGAATACATCAGGTTGGTATCATTGAGAAGCACGGGACTTGACATGTAAACAAAAAAGAATGAAGAGATTAATAAAAATCCCCTGTGGCCCTAAATATGAATCTGAATGATCATGAAATTTAAACACAAATTTATTTAAGAAAATCAACTAGTGTTAGCCCTCAGATTCAATCAGGTTTTTTTTTTTTTAATGCTTTGTTTTGCTAGAGATTGGCTCTATCCAGCTTAGCATGGTGAAGTACACCTACATAATACCAGCACTTGGCAGTAAAGGCAAGAGGATCAGGACTTCAAGCCTATCTATCCTCAACTGTCAGTTTGAGGTCAGACCAGGCTACATAAGACCCTGCCTTCCAAAACTTACTTAATTAAAAAATAAAAATAAAAATTGGGTCTATAATGAACATGTTCAAACTTTTTGTCATTTTTGTATAAATAACATGAAAACAATTATACAACATTTATATTATATTAGGTATTATAAGTAATCCACAGATGATTTAAAGTGCATAGAATGATCATAGAGGTTCTATGTAACTATATCATTTTATATATAAAATTTGAAAAATCCTCCAATTTTGGTACCTACAGAGGTTCTGGAACCAAATCTCCACACCAGAGATATCAAAGAATGACTGTGTATATAAAACATTTCTTCATCGGGCAGTGGTGTTGTCACGTAATGCATGCACAGATATGCATGCAGAACACTCGCACACAGTTTAAAATAATAATAATAAGCTGGGCAGTGGTATCGCATGCTTTTAATCCCAGCACTTGGGAGGCAGAGGCAGGCGGATTTCTGAGTTCTAGGCCAGTCTGGTCTACAGAGTGAGTTCCAAGGCAGCCAGAGCTACACAGAGAAACCCTGTCTCGAAAAACCAAAAAAAAAAAAAAGAAAGAAAAAAAGAAAAAGAAAAAAAGAAAAAAAAAGACAGAAAGAAAGAAAACAAAACCATATTCATGTGGGTGGGAGTAAGAATAGTTGGGTGTTTTTTGATTAATTGGTTGATTGGTTGGTTGGTTGCCTGGTTGGTTTAGTTTGGAGTTTTGTTGTGTTGCTTTGTTTTGTTTCAGGTAAGACCTCCCTATGTAGCCTCAGAGAGGTTTGCCAGCTTCTGCTGAGATTAAAAACATTCACCACCATCCTCTGCAATAGGGTAGGTTTTACTGGTGGTTAGGGTTGAACCCAGTGCCTTATACATGTTAGCTAGGCCAGCAAAAGACCATTGAGCTTTCTCAAGCCCTTACATAACCTTTATCTCAAGTAACCAAGAAAGCTTAACAAGGATAGGGTATCAGATCAATATGTATTCAGAATATTCTAAGTATTACTACTTCATTTTTCTAATTTTTAAACTAGCATTATGCTTGCTGACAGAAGAAAACAAAGAATATCAGTATGCACACAAGGTTGTTACTAAGACATACAAACATTTCTGTCTGGATTTTGTGCTTACTGTCAGATAAATCATCCTTAGTTTTTTAAAAGGTCAAATCTTACAATCCTTTCAATTTCAATAAGCTGAAAACATAGTGCAGTCTCAAGTAATAAATAGAATTAAGGTAACAATTAACTTCAATTTGTCTGTAATTCAAAAGACTGGTTGTCTAGACAGTCTCAATTTATTTGATTATTGCCCAGCATTTATCTTCACTTTAGATAAACAAATCTCACCTCAGTTGGTAGATGTAATTACTTCTTAATTTATTATTTGTCCAATTCTTTCATTGAAATTTCAAATATACTATAAGTGTTGAACACAGACATTCTTAAATTCTGCACACTAGGAAATACTAAATTTAAAGTCATAATTCCCCCCAAACGTTTTTTTGAAACACCAATCCTCAGATAAGACACTCCAAAGAAAAGTATTAATATTCTTAAAAGTTGAGATACTTATACTTCTTCTCTCTTGATGATAAATTCTCAGAACACTGTTTATATTAAAAGCCCTAAGCAGTTCTGCAGCAAAATACTAACACTACTACTACTAATGATGATAAAATTAGCATTTCTCCACATTCTGATATTCTTTTTTTAAAGACTATGAGTCAAAATACAGTTTGCAAAAACTGGTTTAATCACCTTTAAGACTGTTCAAATAGATATAGCAATAAACTCCCATAGGCAGGGCCCTAGTTAAATAACATCATAAAGTCTATAATATGAGCTAAGTATGGGGCCAAAGCTTTGATATAGTTATGGATAATCCTCTAACACCTCACAAAATTATTCTCTTTATTCTTAGAAGTGAAATTTCCAACTTTTAATGTTGATCATTGCCCCCAGAATGTACATAGTTAAATTATTACTATTTTGTGATGTGGTTCCTGAGCAACAAAATTCTTACATAGTTATACACTTGGATTCTTGAACTGAATACACCAAGGACAATAAAAAGTATAGTCAAACATCAGCTTACACTGAAGTTCCCAGGCAACATTCTCCAAGCCAGAAAACAGAGAACCTCAGAAGTTTTACTGCCACAGTGAGACTCCATTAACAAATGTTGAATAAATGAATGAATGAATGAATGAATAGATGAATGAATGAATGAATGAACATGAACACAGAATAAAAACGGTTTTAGTGTAAGCCATAGCTCACAGCTATTTAATTTGGAAATGATCAATTTAAATGCCATCTTCATTAGAGTTTATAATTTATCTAAAATCCACAAAACAATTATCAAGCATTACTTCCTCTATAAAGTAATTCCCTTATAATTTCCTGCAGGGAGAATTAGCTGTTCCCTCCCTGTGCCCCTGTCCCTGTGAACTAACCTTAGCATATGCTGAATATCCTCCACCTTGTAGTGTTTAGGACCCCAAGTCTCTCAGATTTCAGATTATGTTTAGATATTCTTTATTTGCATGTATAATTAGATAATTGGGTGAGAGACCCAAGTCTAAACACTGAGTTCATTATGTTTCATTATACACCTTATATGTATGCATAGGCTTAAAGTAACTTTATACAATACTTCTCACATGCTTTCTGACTATACCTCTCAAGTGATATTAGATGCAGAATTTTCCATATGTGGCACCATGTCAGCACTCAAAAAGTTTCAGATTTTTCAGATTTTTAGTTTCAGAAGTAGGTTTCAGACATGAAAATGACCTTGGACTAGGACAGGGAAGTAGGCTCAGATACTTTGGTCATCCTGATAAGCCCTTAGAAACAGTGATCACGGGAGTGTTGATGTACTTGGGTTTAAAGCCTTGCTTTTTCTTTGACTATTTTCATTTATTGTATTGCTAGACCCTCAACCTATAACTGACCTTAATACTTGCATGTAATCAAAATGGTATAAAAGCATAACAGAAGAGGGGGTATAGGATAGGGGGTTCTAGGGAGGGGAAATGGGGAAAGGCGATGATATCTGTATTGTAAATAAATAAAATATCCAATAAAAAATTAAAAAACGAATTTTCCACATGTGGCACCATGTCAACATTCAAAAAGTTTCAGGGTTTTTTTTTTGTCTTCAAGTTAGG